AGAAAGACAGAGAGACAGAAAGCGAGAAATCACCCCCCAGGGGGGATGGCCACGCTGCAATCCCTTCTCCTCCATTCTCCTCTGGGATCTTGGGCACCCACGCACATGAGCCCAGTGTGTTTTAAGCCACCCGGTGCGGGACTCGAACCGCAGTCGACTACATGGGAGTCCAGCGACATAGCCATTATGCTAACTGCTGGTCCCCGGGGTTTTGAAACTTTTTAAGTAACTCCTAATTTTAATTTAGAGCACTTAATCCTAGTGTTACCTATGCAAAATATTCGTTCTTATATCTAGAGAGGTGGCTTATATTGTGAAACTTTCAGAATTTTACTGGTTAAACACTTCTAGTGTTTTAAAACTTTTTTTAAAATTTTATTTTTTGAATATTTTTATTATTATTCATGCAGTAAATCACTATACATCATTTAGATTGTGAAGAGACTTTACCCAGCATAATATACACCTCAGTCCAGCCTAGTTGAGACTATTATACACATCCTCGTCAACAGGTAATAAACCTTGTCTATGTCCCAGAAGTGTCTTACTTCTCCATTTCCCCCTTAAATTTCCTTTCTTACACTCTTCCCCTCCCACACTCTCTTTCCACTTTGTCTCTAGTGTCCATTACAATTTTTAATACTTTTATGTTCTCCAGTGTTTCAGTATTTACCATAGAGTGCAGACAGCCGGTATATATTAAGTGGAGACATATAGTGTCTCTCTTTCATAGCCTGACTTGCTTCACTTAGCAACAAATCTTCCATATTCATTCACTTTCTATCAAATTCCGGGGCCTTGTTGTTTTTTATGGTTGATAGTATTCCATGGTGTATACGTGCCACAATTTTTCAATCCATTCATCTGTTTGTGGACATTTGCATTGGTTCCATGCCTTAGCAATCGTGAATAAAGCTGCAATAAAAATAGTTGTGCAAGCACTTTTCTGACTGAGTGGTCTCCTGTCCTTTGGGTAGATACCCAGGAGTGGAATTGCTGGGTTATATGGTCGTTCTCTTTGAAGGTCTTTGAGTAACCTCCATATGGTTCTCCACAGTGGCTGGACCAATTTAAATTCCCAACAACAGTGTAGGAGTCCCCTTTCACCACATCCCCTCTAGCACTTATCATTTTTTTGTTTAATCTTCACCATTCTGACTGGGGTTACATGATATCTCATTGTGGTTTTTATCTGCATCTCCCTTACAATCGGGGTGTTGAGTATTTTTTCATATGCTTTTTTTCATATGTCTTCCTTAGAGAGTTGTTTATTCAGCTCATTTTCCCATCTTTTAATTGGGTTAATAATTTTCTTCTCGGTAAGCTGCTTGAGTTCCCTGTGTATTCTGGTTATCAGTCCCTTATCTGAGGCAGTTAACAAAAATTCTTTCCCATTCCAAGGATTTTCGATTCAAATTAATTATAGTGTCCTTTGCTGTGCAGAAACTCCTTAATCTGATGTAATCCCATCTGTCTATTTGGGGGATTATTGCCTGTGCTTTGGGAGACTTGCTTAAGAAGTCTTTGCCTACCCCAGTGTCTCCCAGTTTCCCCAGTGTTTTCCACCAGTAGTTTTGTAGTTTGCAGTCTTAGGTTTAAATCTTTGATCCACTTTGAGTTGATTTTTGTTAATGGTGACAGATAGGGGTTCACATTCATTTTTCTGCAGGTGGATACCCCACTTTTCCAACACCATTTGCTAAAGAGGTTTCCCTTTTCCCACTGGATTGATGGGTACACTTTGTCAAAGATGAGTTGGCTGTACGTTTTTGGCGTTTATTTCTGGAATCTCTACTCTGTTCCATTGGTCCTCATGCCTATTTTTGTGCCAATTCCACCTATTTTGATTATCACAGCTTTGTAATATATTTTGGGGTCAGGAAGTGAAATGCCACCTACTCTAGTCTTCTTGCTCAGGATGGCTTTAGCAAAACGGGGTCTTTTATGGTTCCAGACAAATTCTATGACTGTCTTTTCTAGATCTGTGAAGAATGTCTCTTGTAATTTTATAGGGATTGCATTAAACATGCAGATTAATTTGGGTGGGATTCCACTTTTATTATATTGATTTGCCAATCCAGGAACGTGGGATGTCCTTTCACTTTTTAGTATCCTTTTCAATTTCCTTTTTAAGATTTTCATGGTTTTCCTTGTAGAGGTCTTTGACCTCCTTGGTTAGTTTTATCCTAAGTATCTTATACTTCTTGTGGTATGGTAAATGGAATTATATTCTTCAGTTCTGTCTCTGGCTGCTTGTTATTTGTATGTAGAAATGCTACAGATTTTTGTAAGTTAATTTTGTATCCTGCCACTTTACTGTATGCATTTATTACTTCGAGAAGTATTTTCATGGATACTATTGGGTCTTCTATGTATACAGTCATGTCATCTGCAAACAGATAATTTCAGCTCTTCTTTCTCTATTGGAATGCCTTTTATTTCCTTCTCTTGTCTGATCGCATTGGCTAGAACTTCCAGTACCATATTTAATAGGAGTGGAGAAAGTGGGCAGCCTTGTCTTGGACCCATTTTTTCCCATTCAGTAAAATGTTAGCTGTAGGTTTTTCATAAATGGCTTTTATTATGCTGAGAAACGGTCCTTCTATGCCAATTTTACCGAGAGTCTTGATTATAAAGCCATGTTGTATTTTGTCAAATGCTTTTTCCACATTGATTGAAATGATCATATGGTTTTTATCTTTCTTTCTGTTAATATGGTGTATTGCATTTATGATTTTGCATATCTTGTATCCTTGGAATAAAGCCTACCTGGTTGTGATGAATAAACTTTTTTATATGCTGTTGAATATGATTAACAAGTATCTTGTTGAGAATTTTTGTATCTATATTCATCAGGGATATATGTTTGTAGTTTTCCATTTTTGTTGTATCCTTATCAGTTTTGGGAATGAGGGTAATGGAAGCTTCATAGAATGAATTTGGAAGGGTTTCTTCCTTTTGGATCTCTAGAAACAGTGTGAGTAGGATGGGGGTTACCTCTTCTTTTAAAGTTTTGTAAAATTTGGCTGTGAAGCCATCAGAGCCTGGACTTTTCTTTGTTGAGAGGTTATTTATTACTGATTCTCATTGCTTGTCTATTCGGGCTTTCTATGTCCTCCTGAGTCAATCTTGGTAGATTATATGTGTCCAGGAATTTGTCCATCTCATCCAGGTTTTCTTCTTTGTTGGCACAGAGTCTCTCATAATATCTTCCAATGATGTTTTGTATTTCTGTTATGTCTGTTGTAATGTTGTGTGATTTGTTGCAGATTTGACTTATCTAGTTTCTTTCTCTCTTCTTAATTAGTCTGGCTAATGGTATGTCAATCTTGTTTATCTTTTCAAAGAACCAGCTTTTGCGTTCATTTATTATCTATGTAATGTGCTTATTTTCTATTTCATTTATTTCTGCTCGATTTTTATTATTTCTTTTCTTCTGGCATTTTAAAAATATTTCTGTTGTTGTTTTTCCAGTTCCCTGAGGCATGACATTAGGTTGTTATTTTTGCCACCTTTCCATCTTTTTCTTGTGTGCACTAATTGCTGTGGACTTCCCTCTAATGAGTGTTTTTGCAGTATCCCATAGATTATGGAAACTTGTGTACTCATTATCATTAGTTTCCATGAATCTTTTGATTTCCATCTTAATCTCTGCAGTAGTCATGGAGTTTCCATGTATTTGTATATATTTCAAGGGCTTTTCCTGAGATTAATATTGAGTTTAATTCCATCATGGTCAGAGAAGATGTGGGATATAGTTTCTATGTCTTTGAATCTGTAAAGGCTGGTTTTGTGCCCTATCATGTGATCAATCTTTGAGAAAGTACCATGTAGGACTGAGAAAATGTATATTTTGTGTTTTTTGCATGGAAAGTTCTATAGATGTCTATCAAGTTCATCTGATTTATGGTATCATTTAGATCCTGAATCTTTTTGCTTATTTTTTGTCTTGTTGACCTGTCTAAAGGAGATAATGGGGTGTTGAGATCTCCAACAATTATAGTGTTATTATCTATTCGCTACTTTTAGATCTAGCAGTCTTCCCTTTACATATTTGGGTGCTCCCGAATTTGGTGCATCGGTATTTATAAGCCTTATAGCTTCTTGGTGAATTTGTCCTTTTACTACTATATAATGCTCTCTTTTGTCTTTTCTTACAGTTTTTGTCTTAAAGCCTATTTTATCTGAAATCAGTATAGCGACTCCTGCTCTTTTTTGGTTTCTATTTGCATGGAATACCTTTTTCCAACCCTTCTCTTTTAGTCTGTGTATGTCTTTATCCATGAGATGGGTTTCCTGTAGGCAGTAGATGGAAGGTTTCTGGTATTTAATCCATTCAGCCAGTCTGTGTCTCTTGATTGGAGAATTAAATCCATTGACATTCAATGTTATCAATATTTCCAGACTTGTCCCTACCATTAAGTTGGCCATATTCCTGGTTGTTTTTTGTTCTCTTATTGCTGTCTGTCTCTCTTTAGTTTTCTTGGTATAGTACCCCTTTCAGAATTTCTTGAAGAGCCAGAGTTGGTAAATTCTATCAGGTTTTGTTTATCCAAGAACGTTTTTATTTGCTTTTCCCATATGAAGGATAATTTTGCCAGGTATAGTTGAAATAGTTTATCATTTAACACTTTGAATATATTTCCCCATTCTTTCCTTGCTTGCATTGTTTCTGATAAGAAGTCTGGTACTAGCCTGATGGGATTGTCTTTATAAGTGATTTGACATTTCTCTCTTGCCAATTTTAGTATCTTGTCTTTGTCTGTGGTTTTGTTCAATCTAGCTATAATGTAGCGTGGAGAGGATCTTCTTGGATTGATTCTACTTGGGGTTCTTTGTATTTCTTGGATCTGGATGTTTGAGTGCCTCTCTAGACTTAGAAAGTTTTCTTCTAGGATTTCATGGAATAGATTTTCAATGCCCTTATTAGTTTCTTCATACTCTGGGATACCAATGATATATTTGGGCGTTTCATGGTATTTAGAATCTCTTGTGTATTATCCTCAGTTTTCTTGGCTGTTTTCTCAGTATTTTGATAATTTCTTCTAGGTGATTGACTTTGTCTTCTCCAGAAATTTGATCTTCTGCATGGTCTAGCCTGCTTTTGCTACTTTTGAGGGAGGTCTTAATTTCCCGTATTATAGCCTACATACCTAACAGTTCCTTTTGATTCTTTTTTATGGTGTCCAATTCTTCTTTCATATCGTGGAAGTACTTCCTTATCTCTTAGAGCTCAACATCTCTATTCTCTTACATCTTGTAGAATTTTGTTACCATAAATATTCTAAATTCTTTTTCTGACATTTTGGTAATATGCTCTAAATTTTCCCTACTTGGAGATAGGTTACATTGTTCCTTTGGTGGGGATGAACTACATGATTCTCTCATCCTTGAGGTTCTTCTTCAATTTTTAGTCGTTTGATAATGTATTCACTTCTGGTCAATTTGTTGGAGAGGGATTCAGTGACTGAACTCGTGTGCTTCCCCCACTATGAAATAATTTAGTGCTATTTTCTCCCGTATACTAAGTCCTCAAATGTGGGAATCACAGGAGTTTTGAAATCAGATTTGTGAAGGGGAATTTCACTAATTTTGCAACCACTACAGTGATGTGCAAAGAATTCTCCAAAACTGGGAACCAGCAGTTAGCGTAATGGCTATGTCGCTGGACTCCCACGTAGTCGACCGCGGTTCGCGTCCCAGACCCGGTGGCTTAAAACTCACGCCAGGCGCGTGTGCGTGCGTGCCCAAGATCCCGAGAGGAGAATGGAGGAGAAGGGATTGCGGCGTGACCATCCAGGGATTGTGGCGTGACCATCCCCCCTGGGGGGTGATTTCTCGCTTTCTGTCTCTATGTCTCTCTCTCTGTCTGGCGAGCGCACGCGCCCTACAGTGAAAATCTCTCAAGAAAAACAACAACAACAACAACAACAACAAAAAAAAACACAAACAAACAAAAAAAAGAATTCTCCAAAACTCACAGTGCTCAGATAGTTAGCTCCTATGCACCTAATCATCTCTAGGCAGAGGGTAAGGGCTGAAAAGTAAAACAGAAAAGTAAAGAAAAAGAAAGTAGGGAGAATATAGAAATAGGGAGAAAAGATGAAGAAAAAAGAAGGAAAGTATTAGAAGAAAAAGAGGAAATCACTTAGCAAAAAATGAAATTGGGATGAAAATGGAAAGCCAAAAACAGCTAAACTTGGAGGTGGCTAGCAGCTTCGTGTCCTAAGTGAGAAAAAAGACAGACACGAACAAGAGAAAGGCCCAAGGAGGGCGGAGAGCTGTTTTTTCAAAAGGAGAAAAAAAAAAAAGGACAGAGGAGAGCAAGAGGGAGCAAAGCAGCTATGCTGCCTGGCTAGCGCTGGGTCTGGGAGGGGAACACTGGCTGGGGGAGACTTCACAGCCATGAAGTTGAACCCAGAGATCAAAAACAGGCCAACACTTCTATTCTTTACCTTGAGGACAAAATTAACTTCTTGTGCCTTGTCTTTATCTTAGTTTGGCTTATTTTAAAACAAGAAATTTTTTTAAAAAGGGTCTTTTAAGATTGAGACATTCTACATGTTTTTTATTTGTTTTTAATTATATTTTGTGGTATATAATGATATGGTGTAATTGACATGCCTTTAAAGGTGAAATTTCCATGACAGCAATGCTGTGAAATTAGCATTATAAAAGAGCAGAGCAGGGAAGAGCAGTGGACCAACCTTACTTGGAAAGGTAGGCAAGATGCCAGGTTTTGTTTCTTTGTGCAATCCAGCTACCAATTGAATACAGTAAATCCTATGTGTCAAGGAAACTAGTGGATCATCGGAAAAATCATAATATATTTTTCTATGCAAAAATGAGTCACTACTTTCCAACAACCCAATACTCAGTGAACTTGAACTAATTATCTTGCTTTTGTTTCAGATTCCAAGAGATGCAAAACATAAACTTGTTTATATTGCCAAGAAGGTTATGGAAAGCACTGGAGTAAAGGATTTCTCTCAAACAGTTTTATTTGGAGAGTTACCTACATCCTCTCTTGGATATGTAACTGCTTTCTTAGAAGAGGTACTAATCTGTCTTTAATATTTGAATCTTTCATTTGGCCATGTGGGAGTCCAAGGACGTAACTGCTATGCCATCTGCTGGCCCCCAACCTGAGGATTTTGTTAAAGGCAAACTGAGGCAGTTGGCCTTGGGGAGAGCCCAAGGTTCAGCATTTCTACCTCGATGTGGTTTATTCATGGACCACGTTTGAGGACAGCCTAGCAAATGGCTAGGTCCTATGGAAAAGTGTTTCTCAAACTTTGCTGGACATTAGAGTCACCTGAGGGGACTTCCTAATTACCAATGCCCAAGTCATACCCCAAACCAATTAATTCAGAACATGTGATGGTGGGAGCCAGGTGGCAATAATTCAGTATTGATAGATCATTCTAATATGCAGGGAGCTTTGGGAATCACTGGATTAGATATCTGTTTACAAAATCAGTTTCTAAATTCTGATTGCTAAACTAGACCTCAGGAATCAGTGCAGTCCTGCCAAGGCCAATATTTAAGTTAGGAAAAATTGCTAACATTTTTGTTATTAATGATTTACCAACCTCCCTTTAGTCACACCTCTTCTACTTTCTGAGTCTCTTCTGCTGTCGTTTTTCTTTTTTAATTAATACTTTTTATTAACTTAATCATTGTTACAGTGTGATTATTTTAGTAGGTCAACACAACCTGTAATGATTAAATCAGAGTAATTAGTGTGCCCATCATCTAAACTACTTTGTAACGTTGTATGTAGTAAATTGTGAACGATTTCTCCACATTGTATTTTGTAACACTAGACATTGTTCCTTCTGTCTATCATCTGCTGCCTTAAGAAGATTATCTTACTGTCTTGGGGGTAGTCAGAGTCTCTTACCCTCAACTGCAAGTACCCTGCCTAGGTTTCCCTTCCCTCCAAGTGAATTTACTTGTCTTTAACTGAATTCAGGAAGATGCCTAGAGTTTTTTATTTTTTTTTTTTTTTTCTTTATAAAATTTTGCCTGAGGGTGTGTATGCTAGTTGGGCTGGAGGGATCTTTTCTCCTCCATTTGTTCTTCCTTTTCAGAATTTGGGCACGCACACATGTGAACTCATTGTGTTTTACAAGCTGCCAGTTCCAGGACTCAGATCTTGCATTCTGCCCTGCGGGATCCAGCCCTCTTAACCATTAGGCCATGGACTGGCCCAGAAGATAGTTATCTATGTTTAGTAACTGGAACAGTTTTTGGTATGTAGCAGGTGCTCAAGCAATTTTTTATTGAACTGAAACTGATGACTTCTGGTTATTATTCAAATGTAAACCATCAGCTGGGCTTGGGAAGGGCAAAGCTATACTTTTCATTGGAATTCTTGCTTTACCATCTGTGTCTGGCAACAGAAGGTACAAAACTTTCAGATTCCTCTGCTGTTTCTCTGAATTTATCTCAGTATCAGAATGTACACTGCATTCTGAATTTGTTAAATGAAAGAGGTGAGCTGTCAGTGACTCCTTCTATAGAAGGCATAAAACATCCAGAACGTTGGAGTTTAATCAAGAGGTTTGGAAGAGTCTCATTTAATTATGCTTGAGCATGTGAGCACTGAGCATGTGGAAATAAAAAAGAGGATATGACACATATGCAGTGTTACTTGGGTTTACTTACGGACAGGGCTTGAATTTGGTATAAATGAGGCTCTTAGGCATGATGGTAGCATGTTAGGTTAAAGGTTTCCAAGGCTCTGGGGACCAGCAGGTGGCATGGTAGTTAAGGTGCTGGACACTCCCACATGGCTGACCATGGTTCACATCCTGGACCTGGTGGCTTGCTTTCTCACTTTCTCTCCCTCTCTCTCTCTCTCTCTCTGTGACTCTCTCTAGTCAAATTAAAATAAGTGAATGAATAAGTAAAATTAAATAAATAATTAGAAAAAAAGGTTTCTGAGGGTCATCTTTGGACTCCTCGCAGTTCACATCACTGGCTGATTAGCAGAGATTTGTGATGATATTCTGGGCACCTACTTACTACCCACTACAGGACACTGCAGATTTGTCAGGCAGTTTCTGTCCCAAGCCTCTGTCCAACTAAGAGCTGTCTCCCAGATTCCAAACACGCAGAGCCACATGCCTTCCTGACATGGTCACTTGATGCCTAAGACACGCCTTAAACCTAATGCCCAAGGATAAACTTCTGGCCCTCTCCAGACTCTGTTACTTGTAGTTATCCTCTGGCTGGTGGATGTAAACTTCTAGTTGGTCAAAGCAGAAAACCTCCAAGTCATCTTTGACTCCTTTCTGTGTCTCACACCTCATGTTCATTCTGGTTGGAAATTATTCAGATTCGACCTTCAAAATATATCCAAAATATATCCTCCAAAATATATCCAGCTCCCTTCTCTCCGCCACTGCTTCTGCGCTGGTCCGGTTCACTGTCATCTGCTACCTGTGTTACTTATCAGCCTCCTAAAAGATCTCTCTGTTTCTGTCATGGCTCCCACATCTTTCCTAACATAGCAGGAGAGTGATCCTTACTGAAGCATGAGTCAGAACATAGCACATGGCATGTCTCTGTTCAGACCCTCCTTGGCTCTCATTTCACTCAATACAGCCCAGGTGCTCCCGGTGGTCTCTGTTTTGTTGCTTGCTGTGGATCAGCACTGTCTGCATTCCCTGGACACTTGTCAGAACTGTAGACTCACAGGCCCTACCCCGGAGCTAATGAACCAGGACTGTCCGGAATGAACCAGGTCTGTCAGGTGATTCCACTGCTCCTTACAGGAGAGAACTAGTTCAACATCTGTGATCTGGTCTCCCATTACTTCTCCATACTGATCTCACTTTGCTAATTCATGGCCTCTTTGCTGTTCCTTTAACACCTCAGGAACGCCCCTGTCCCCACATCTTTGTTCTTACTGTTTGATCTTCTTCCCCTGCATATACTCAGCTAACCCCTTATTGTGCTTCAGGTCTTTGGCTCAGGCAATTGTGGGTTGCTTAACCACAGGGAGAGACCTTACTCGGTTATCACAGTGTGCTCACATAAACCTGGATGGTATAGCCTGTGTGCTCCTTATGGGACCACCATCATAGATGTAGTTTGCGGTTGATCCAAACATTGTTATGGGGCCGGCAGGTGGCATAGTGGTTAAGGTGCTGGAATCCCACATGGTTGAATCCCAGACCTGGTGGCTTGCTTTCTGGCTTTCCCTTTCTCTCTCTGTCTTTCTCTGGCCAAATTAAAAAATAATAACAACACGGGAACCAGCAGTTAGCGTAATGGCTATGTCGCTGGACTCCCACATAGTCGACTGCGGTTCGAGTCCCGGACCCGGTAGCTTAAAACTCACGCCGGGTGCATGTGCGTGTGTGCCCAAGATCCTGAGAGGAGAATGGAGGAGAAGGGATTGCGGCATGACCATCCCCCCTGGGGGGGGTGATTTCTCGCTTTCTGTCTCTATGTCTCTGTTTTCGCACGTGCCCTATAGTGAAAACCTTTCCAAAAAAAAAGAAAGAAAAAATAACAAATGGAATTAAATAAATAAATCTTAAAAAAAAAATCGTTATGTAGCACGTGACTCTTCAGCAAATTTCCTCTAGGAGAATAGAGACTTTTGCAGTATAAAGACCAGGATGAGGCAAATGAGACACTACCTCAGGGGCAAAATTTATAGTGTAGACAACCCCAGAACACCTCAGCAGTTAAGGTAAAGAAAAAAAATATACTCATACACACTTACTTAGGGTTTTGCCTTGTTGTGTTATCCTTCTGCTTCACTTACCAGTTGAGACTATAGTGTACATCACCGTACCGAGCTTTTTAATTTAATTGCCATTGTGCTTGTCAGAGAGACACAGACACAGAGAGGGAGAGGGAAAAAGCACCCTCCACTAGGGTGGTGTCACATCACAATCCCTTCTCCATTTCTCCATCTTGTCAGGATTTGGGGTACACATATACCTGGTGTTTTTTTAGCTACCAGGCCAGGATTCGAACCACAGTCAGTCATGTGGGATCCACTTCTCTTAACCACTAAACTAAGAGGCTAGCTTTTTTGTTTGTTTGTTTGCTTATTTCTTTCTTCTAGACACTAGAGAGAGAAAATGAGAGGGAGAGGGGGAGGGTGAGGGATAGGAAGGGAGAAAGAGAGAGAGAGAGAAAGAGAAAGGCAACACATTGGAAATATTGCCTGACACAGAGCAGGAGCTCAGGATCGACTTGTTAGACAAAAGTTAAATGAGGGCTAATGGATGTTTCACTTGCCTTAGAATGAAGTACTGAAGCTTAAAGTACTTCTTCAGAGACAAAGCATGTGGTTTATGATCTCTGCTATTTCTGTTTAAATTTTTGGATAACAATGTGAAAAAGACACAAGACATCTTATGATAATAAGTCATTTGTTCATTTAATTAATATTTCACACTAACCTACTACCAGTTACTGCACACATGGAGATTGGTTAAGCAGTTTTGGTCCTCTGAAAGAATGCAGCCTAGGGACCAGCAAATGGCAGAATGGTTACATCACTGGATTCTCACAGAGTTGATTGTGGTTCAAGTCTCAGACCTGGCGGCTTAAAACTCAGCCGGGCAATGTAGATCCCAAGAGGAAAATAGTGGGTAAGGGATTGTGGCATGGCCATCCCTCCTAGGGGGTGATTTCTCACTTTCTGTCTCTCTGACTCTGTCTGTCTGGTGAGTGCACGTGCCCTATAGCAAAAATCTCTCTCTCTCTCTCAAAAGAAAAAGAAGGATGCAGCCTAGTTAGGGAGGCAGACAGCTAAACCAACACTGCTATGCTGTAGTTAGGGCTGTGATGGGGTTTAGCAGGGAGCTCTGGGAGCCTGATAGCCCCTTTCAGTATTAAAAAGGTTGGCAGGGAAGGTGGGGAGTATTGGAGAGGTTGATCACAGGCCTTGGCTTGCCTCAGGAAGTTCTGAGTAATAAGTTAATGTCGGTTAATAATTTTTCATGCCGTATTTATTTATTTTTTAACTTTCAAAAGCATTGGTATTTGTATGTGTTGTATGGTTCTTGGAGTGTGGAAAGACAGGAACGAGGTGACTGGATGTAGAAGATGGAGTAAGAGGTTCTGGGCAGAGAGAGAAAGAAGCACATGGGGGTAGTGGGGAGGAATAAGGCTGCAGAGGTGTGGGATTGTTCTGTTTGCATGGTTGCCTGCAAAGCCAATCACCAAACCCAGGTCCATGCATTCATTGGAAGGCAGTAGGGGTAACGCATGCTTTGTGTTTTTCACTGGGGCCAGCTTAACTTGCAAGTTGTCTCAGTCAGTCTGGGCCACAGGATCCCATAGACCAGGTGGCTTAAACAATAAATGTTTATTAATTACAGTTTTTGGAGGCTGGAGGCCAGAGATCAGAGCCAGAAGTGTTAGGTTCTTAGTGAAGGCCCTCTTCCTGGTTTCAGGTGACTGTCTTTAATTGTATTTTAATATGGTGATGGGGAGAGGAGTCTCTCTCTCTCTCTCCTTCCCTCCCTCCTTAAAAAGGCTTTTATCCCATTTTGAGGGTTCCACACTTATGACCTAATTACCTTCCCCAAACCCCATCTCCAAATATAGTCATGTTGGGATTAGAGTGTCAGCATATGAACTCTGAGGGAGCACATTTAGTCCATAGCAGAAGTTTGGATGCAAATGGATTAGGTGTTATTTATGACTTGTATTCTAAGCTAATCAACTTTCAACTTTCTGGGTGATTTATACAGTAACAGGAGAAACATTTAATGCAAGACTTGGTGATTTGGTGACTCAGTTGATGAGTAGAAAAGGGACCATGTTACTTAGTAGTGTTTGTATTAAAAAGTATTGGATCAGCAGGTGGCATGGTGTTTAAGGTGCTGAACATGGCTGTCTGTGGTTTGAGTACCAGACCTGGCAGCTTGCTTTCTCACTCTCTTTCCTATGAGGGTATATGCCCTATAACAAATTTTTTTTAAAAAAAGTAATAATAAATAAAATAATTGTGTTTTAAAATTTTTTTTAAAAAGTATTCATGGAGCCACAGATGGTGTAGTAGTTAAGGTTGCTGAACTCCCACATGACCAACTGTGGTTTGATTCCTAGAACTGGTGGGTTGCTTTCTCACTTTGTCTCTCTTTCTGTCTCATCAAAATTAAAAGAATAAGATAAGAAATAAAATAAAATAATTTTTTAAAGTTCACTAATTTATTTTAAAAGAACAAAGAGGATTGAATATGTTTTCCAGAGCTGTTTTCAAATGAACTAGGAAAAGGTATAGATGCCCTGTGTTTGAAATGTGACCTCATATTTTTTATTTTCTCATTCAAATGACCTATTATTCTCTTTACTTATGTTCACAATTGTATAGACTTTGGAGTTTGACTGAGATACACTGATCTGTGGGGATTTATTATGGTGAATTAGGGATTTCCAACTTTTCTCTCTAGCCTCTCCAACTTCGGACTTGGCTGTCCTATCACTTTCTGACAAGGCCACTTGATAGACATCTCACGCCTAAAATGTTCACAAATGAAACTCCTGATTAGCCCTTCAGCATGGTTGTGTTCTCATACATGAGTGTAACTGTACTGTTGTTTACTTAACAGTAATACTTAACACTTAACAGTAATACTTAACAAAAGTTCTTAAAATATCATGTGGTTATGTCTTTGTGTGTTATGTGGGCCCAAGAACTATACTCATGAATGGTTATTAGCCCAAAATGGAAGTATCATCATTTGATTATTCTCAGTCATTGTCTGGGCCCAACTTTGGATATTCCAATTTTGGTGTCCTGAATTTAGAAAGTCTTTCTTAAAAAGTCAGCAGCAGAAAGAGATTACATAACTTCACTCTCATGAGGAAATTGAAAAACTGAGCTCATGGAAGTAGAGAAAGAATGCCTGCCGGAGGAAGGCAGAAGGGAAACAGAGAATATTGTTGCTGAAGAGAATCAAAATTACAAATACATAAAAGGAATAATGTCTAGTTACACAGTAGAGAGAATGTAATTAACAACTTGCTCTATATCCCAGAGTAACTATAAAAGAGGGTTTTGAATGTTCCCAGTACAAAGCAGTGATGAACACTTGAGATGATGAGTGTACCAATTACCCTGATTTAATCATTTCACATCATATTCTTGTGCTGAAAAATCGCATTGTACCTCCACGGATAGGTGCAATTATTACATGTTAATTTTTAAAAAAGGAAAAAAAAATACTTCCCAAGTAATTGTCTCTAGTAATTTAAGAATTATTATAAAGAGAAATGCCATAGTTAAAAAAAATGATTAAAGAAAGATAAGTGAAAAGATCCACAACAAACTTACAATAGCTTTTTGCCTGGAGCTGTTTATCTCCTTAGTAAACATGTCCAAATCTTCTTGGTTCACAGAGGAAGTTTGGGATTTTTATTAGAAATCACATCTAGAAAAAAATTTTCAATCCAAACAAGAAAGTCCCAAGTTAATTGAATTATTTTATATGTACTTTGTTGATAAAATTTATTGTAATTGAGTATATTCTAGATTTTTTGTTTTAAATGATATTCATAGAGATATAACTGTTTAGGTATTTGCTTGACTAAATGCTTTCCAAAAAATGTGGCTCAAAATTTCACAACCTTTTTATCTACGGCTTGTGACACAAATCTCAAGTTTTAAAAGAAGTTAGCCACATTGCAGAATAACAGAATGACAGCCTAAAACAGTGCTCAGTAAGTTAGAAGTATTGAATAACTAGAATTTTTGTTATGCCCAAGTTTTGGGAAAGCTGTTGGCTTCTGGAATTGATAGAACTCAGTTTCCCAGGGGTCAGTGAATATTTAGTCCTACAGCCTGCACGTTTCAGTGTGGTTTCCAGAGCTCTCACTAAATCACCCCTGCCTGCCTTCCTTGCATTCAATCTTCGGGGTTCTGGCTCTAGTTCTAGGCAAGGCAAACTGACGATTTCCCATAAGTGCCATTCTTCCTGAGAGCCACATGATTCTGTTTATCACTTAGTTTTTTGGGCTCCTTGCTGTCTTCCTATTAGGGGATCCTTGCTGTCTTACTATTACTAGAAAACAAAATACCACAGACTAGGTAGCTCATACACAACAGAAATCAGGAGCCTGGAAGCCCAAGCCCAAGATCAAGATACTGCTAGATTTGGGTGGCTGGTGAAATCTTGCTTCCTTGGATCATAGAGAGAGCCTTCTGACTAAGGAATGAATGAGCTCCCCTGGGACTATTTTATAAGGGCACTCATCCCATTTATCAGGGCAGATATGATCACGTCTCAAAGTCCCCACCTCCTAATGCCATTACTTTAAGGGGTAGGATTTTGACAAGAGAATTTTGGGTGAACACAAGCATCCAGAGCATAGCAACCGTCTTCCCTATCCTTTCATCTTCAAGATTCAAACCAAGTAACTACTTTTCTGGTGAATCTTCCCTAGTACTAGTCCCTCCCAAAGACAGATGTTTTTTTTGTTTGTTTGTTTTTTTCATGTTTTTATTTTCATCATGAATGTATCAGTAATAATGGCAGTTCTCATATTGAGGGTCATCAATAGGAGATTTCTGGGATCTCACCCACTGAGCTCATGAAGGCAGGAACTGCTTTTTAGTTTTTTGCTATAGAGTGCATGTGCTCACCAGAGAGAGATGAGGGGGGATGGTCACGCTACAGTCCTTTCTCCTCCAGTCTACTGTTGGAACTTTTGGGCACAGACATGTGCCCTGACATGGTTTTTCAAGCCACTCAGCATGGGACTTGAACTGCACAGCCAGACATGTGGGATCCAGTGCCTTCTCTTCACCACCTGCTGGCTGGTGGATGCTAAGCAGGAAGATATCGTAATAGTACCATTTGTGGAGATTTGTTTCAACATTATTGAAAAAATCAAAGTGAGGGCCAGGTATCACTCCAGTGGTAATGCAAAGCTCTGCAGTGCTGCACCCACCCAGCGAGGGCCCAGGCTCACATCCTGAGGTCTCTGTGCACTCAGGATGCACGAATGCATGTCCCCAATCCTGGCTGGGTGAACCTGGGGGTGGATCACAGCATGAAGACCCTGCTGGGAGTACCTTTCTCTTTCTCATGCTGTCTCTTCCTCTCATGGAAGAAATCAATGAACTCACTTTTTTTCATGTGATTTTTTGTTTGTTTTTGTTAGTTAACTAGATTATATTGTCAAACTTTAAAAAGATGAGATAACTATTTTCTGAGTATTTCGGTTCATTTAAATTTCATAATGCTTATAAGATGGATAGATTATACCAGAAAAATGAAAGATATTTACAATGAATAGACAGTGGGAAGGAGTAGAAAAGTAAGAAGAGAGTCTTCGTTACCTTGATATGCACTTCTTAATTGCATAGCATTTGCTAGACTCTAGGAATACAAAAAGTCCCTTTTAAGGGTTTCACACACATGGTTTCATTGATGTTCCCAATTTAATGGTAGAAGACTTCGAAAAAGATTCATATGGCTGAATAAACATCTTTCTGACTATCCAAACTTTAATGCCCTGGAATGCCACTGAGGGCTTAAGATCAAGATTAATTTATTCCTGACTTCCATGTGATTCAAAAAGATATTTTTCATTAACATCCTTGCCAATACTCTCAGTTCGCATTAAGAAAGTAGTTTATATACTTGACACGTTTTTGCTTACTTCCTGCAACATTTGAGTTACTGGAGGCCTCCACAGATGTTTGATAAATGGATAAATGTGTGAATAAGCTGTATAGTATTTCTACTTTGGACAAATTTATGTCTAATTGATTAAGTCTGAATGGATCAGTGACTTTGTCCTTTCTTTTAGATTTGGTATCAGAAGAGGATATTTATGAAATAGAGTGGTTTCGTTGCCGATTTTATGTGACAAGACAATCTTTGAAGGAGCACATTGTCTGTAAATTAATTTAACTGCTTTTTAAAACATTTCTCTTTCTCTAGATTTTAGTGCCAATTCTTTCTAATAAGAACAACCATAAATCCTGGTCCTGTTTTACTTCGCAAGATATGGAATGTCACATAGAAGTCATGAAGACTAAGATGCATATATTTAAGGGCCAAATGTCTAGAAGAACTCTGCTACCAATTCCTACTATTGCAGGAAAAATTGACCTAGATCAGAATTATTCAGAGACCAAGTATGTAATAATGAGCCATATGTAGAATATTAAAATGGAAAGCCAACATATCCCTTTAAAATCATTCTCCTAGCAAACTGTTAGTAAAATAATTATTATAACATGTCATATTTTTAAAATAATGTACAGAAACACCATTTATATTATTTTCTTTCAAAGTATACTTTTTTATTTTTTAAATTTTTTTTTTTGGAGAGGTTTTCGCTATAGGGCACATGCGTTCAACAGAGAGACAGAGACAGAGAGATAGAAAGTGAGAAATCACCCCCCAGGGGGGTTGACCATGCCACAATTCGTTCTCCCTCCATTCTCCTCTTGGGATCTTGGACACACACACACACGTGCCCGCAGTGAGTTTAAAGCCTCCGGGTCTGGGACTCGAACCACGGTCGACTGTGTGGGAGTCTAGCGACATAGCCATTACGCTAACTGCTGGTCCCTACTTTTTAATTTTTTATTAGAGTGTTTTTGCTATAGGATGTGCATGCTCACCCAAGAGACAGAGACAGAAAGCAAGGATGGCCACACCACAATCACTTCTCCTCCATTTTCCTCTTGGGATTTTGGTTGCACATGCCAGCATGAGTTTTAAGCCACCAGGTCTGAGTCTGGAACTGCAGTCAACTATGTGGGAGTCCAGTGATGTAACCATTATGACATCTGTTGGTCCCTTTAACATTTTTTAAAAAGAACTATTTATTTAATTTAATTATTATTTTTTTAATTTGCTATAGGGTATGTACACATATGAGAGAGAGAGAGAGAAAGGGAAAGTGGAAAAGCAAGCTGCCAGGTCCAGGACTCAAGCTATGGTCGGCCAGGTAGGAGTCTAGCACATTAACCACATGCCACCTGCTGGCTCCTTTAACAATTTTTTAACATTAGAAAAATGTCAATGACAGAATACCATAAATGCCATGACTCAAATCAAGATCATAAAAATCATGGATTTTGTGGACCAACAGGTGGCAGCCGTGGTGGTTTAGGCCCTAGACTCCCATGTGGTCAACCACAGTTCAAGCCCCCAACCCTGTGGCTTGAAAATCACACTGGGCATATGTGCTTACATGTCCAAAATTCTGAGGGGAGAACTGAAGAGAAGGAATTGTGGCATGGCCATTCCCCTGGGGGGTGATTTCTCATTTTCTCTCTCCAGTGAGCACATGCATCCTATTTGTTAAAAACAAAATAACAACGGACCAGCAGTTAGAGTAATGGCTATGTTGCTGGACTCCCATGTAGTCGACTGCGGTTCATGTCCCGGACGCATGTGCGTGTGTGCCCAAGATCCCAAGAGGAGAATGGAGGAGAAGGGATTGCGGCGTGGCCATCCCCCTGGGGAGTGATTTCTCACTTTCTATCTGTCTGGCGAGCGCACGTGCCCTATAGTGAAAACCTCTCCAAAAAAAAAAAAAAAAACCAATAACAATAATAATAATGATGATGATAGTGGAATTTGAAGAATTTATATTTAGAAAACTAGTTTATAGATGCATAAAATAACTATTAAAATCCAAGGCCTATTTTTATTTGAATAAAGTGATTCATCTTTGAATTATCTTAGTAATCATTTCAATGTTCGTAGGCTGCAGTCAGATGAAAGGATAATACTCCACACAATTGAATCCGTGATTATTAAATGGTCACATCAAATCCAAGAAATTGTAGAAAAAGATTCAGTACAGTCTTTGCTGAATAGTCTTCACTCTAATCCTCAAACTGAGCTGGATTTCTGGACAATGAGAAGAGAGAATCTATCATGCACTTACGATCAGGTAAGTAGGTAGCTCCAGAAATTGCTTGTAAGTTGAATTAACAAAGTCAGCTGTTTTAAAGGTTTCACACACTGGTTTAGTATGACTTAACACTCTTCTCTCTCTTGTGCTGTGTGTTTGGTGTGTACTTTCTAAATTAATGGGGATTAAAAGTAATTTTGCGTATATGAGAATATTTTGACACCATCTGAGATAATTGAAAATATTTTACAGCCCTGGAAAAAGAATAGTTCCCTAGGGAAATGTTGAAGATTGTCAGATTAATTACTCTAGTCAACTTAATTGATTTGAGGAGGAGGAGGGTCTTCCTTGGTAGAGAGATGTAGCTTTGGAATAGCTAACTGCAGTTCTGGCTTCTTGCCCTACTAATTATGAGCTTTAATGTTCTAAAATGGATGTGAGCATTTATTCACACATTTCAGAAATTTTTTGAAAAAGAGCGAGAAATCTTATATAAAAAAATCAATACTTTTCATATACAGGTTGAATATCCTTTATCCAAAATACTTGGGACCCCAAGTGTTTGGGTTTTGGAATGTTTACATACACGTAATGAGATATCATGGGGATGGGACCCAGGACTGAACACAGAATTCATTTATGTTTCATATACTATACCAAGTATATAACCTGAAGGTAATTTTATACAGTATTTCAAATAATTTCATGCATGAATTCCTTTGTGGATATGTTCGTGTGGGGAAATCTGGGAATATGCAGAAAAATCCATCATAGTTGAAGGATACTGGAAGGGTCTTTTGACTTGGGTACTCTGAATGAACTGTGTTGTGTGCCTGTATTTTGACTGTGACCCATCACATGAGATCAGATGTGGAATTTCTCATTTGTGGTATTATATCAGTGTTCATAAAGTTTTGAATTCTGGAACATTTTGGACTTTGGATTAGGGATGTTCAATCTGTATGGTAAAATATAAACTGACTTTAAAAAATCAGATTAGGGACCAGGAGGTAATGTAATGGCTATGTCGCTGGACTCGAGTCCCAGACCCGGTGGCTTAAACTCACGCCAGGTGCATGTGTGTGCATGCCCAAGATCCCGAGAGGAGAAAGAAGGAGAAGGGATTGCGGTGTGGTGGCCATCCCCCCCAGGGGGTGATTTCTCGCTTTCTGTCTCTCTGTCTCTTTCTGTCTGTCTGGCGAGCGCACGCGCCCTATAGCAAAAACCTCTCAAAAAAAATCAGCTTAAATAATTCTCAATGCCAAAATATTAATAGACTACAAGGTTAAGGAAAAAAAAGCATTTTAAAAATTATTTTCGAGGGACCGGCGGTTAGCACAATGGCTATGTCGCTGAACTCCCATGTAGTTGACTGCGGTTTGAGTCCCAGACCCAGTGGCTTAAATTCACGCCAAGTGCATGTTCGTGTATGCCCAAGATCCCGAGAAGAGAATGTAGGAGAAGGGATTGTGATGTGGCCAACCTCCCTGGGGGGATGATTTCTTGCTTTTTGTCTGTCTTTCTCTCTGTCTCTCTGACGAGCGCACATGCCCTATAGCAAAATCCTCTCAAAAGAATATTATTTTCAACTCAAAAACTGAAACACATTGGAGTGTTAAATAGTGTGGATATTGCATGTGAGCAGAATATCACTTAATCATTTTACTACAGAATGCATTTTTGTTTAGTAATTAATCTATCTTATATTTATTGAAGTGTTTTCTTTAATTCAGCTTCAGACTCCTGTTGTCCTCAAAATGGTTAAGATCCTGAAAAAGAAACAAAGTAGCTATTTTCCTACTTTGAAGGGCATCCTCATGACTGTGGAAAATGGTAAGACTCTCATTTCTTAGCCTCCATTAATGTCGTGTCCTCTGCCTCATTTCTTAGGCTTGGCATCTACCTTGGACCACCAGTGTGTTCATGAAATGATTACAGTTGTTTTCTTTAATTTTTAAATTTGCTGTAGAGCATGTACACTCACCAGAGAAAGAGACAGAGAGAGAAAGTAAAAAGGCACCCCCAGGGGAGATGGTCATGCTGCTGCAATCCCTTCTTTTTTTTTTTTTTTTGGGGAGGTTTTTGCTATAGGGCACGTACCCTTGCCAGGCAGACAGAGGGAGGCTTGCCAGGCAGACAGAGAGAGACAGAGAGACAGAAAACGAGAAATTACCCCCCAAGGGGGATGGCCATGCCACAATCCCTTCTCCTCCATTCTCCTCTCGGGATCTTGGGCACACACTCGCACGCGCCCGGCATGAGTTTTAAGCCATTGGGTCCGGTACTCGAACCGCAGTCAACTACGTGGGAGTCCAGTGACATAGCCATTATACTAACTGGTGGTCCCCTGCAATCCCTTCTTCATTCTCCTCTTAGGATTTTAGGCACACACATACATGATTCTAGCATGTTCTCCAAGCTACTGGGTTGAGGACTCGAACTGTGCAGACAACCACATGGGGTCCAGTCACCTTAACCATCACACCATTTATTGGCCTGTATTTTTAATTCTGAATTGCTAGAGGGCACGTGTTCTCTCCAGAAGGAGAGGGAGAAAGCACTCCCCAATAGGATATGGTCATATCACAATCCCTTCTCCTCTGTCTCTTCATCCTGTCAGGATTTTAGACATGCCTGCATATACACACACACACCAGGAGTGTTTTTCCAAGCTCCAGGGAGCTGATATTGAAATTGTCTTAGGCCATGTGGAATCCAGCTCCCTTCACAGAGCTAGTCCAGCTGCTAAGTTTTTAAAACATTAAAGAGAATATGAACAAACAGCTCTTTTTGCTTGTTTCTAGCTTTAGAAAACTTGTTTTTAATTTTTCCTTTGGAAGAAAAAAATGTACATTTGAAAGGTTAAGAAATACATAAGATTCACTTTGAAAATGTTTTGATGTACCTTAGGGTTTTCCCCTTGAATCATATTTGAAAGGACAACATAAGATAAAGGAGAATATTTGGGCTAGGGGATCTGTCAGTGTTGAATTCCCATCCCAATGCCACTCACCTACCAAATTTGCAGTGCCTCTGGTTTTTCATCAGCCCAGTTGGCATACCAACGCCATTCTTGCAGAATTGCTGTGTGGATTTCAAGCAGCATTGCTTAATCTGGTCACTATCAGCATTTTGTTGTGAGGTGCCATCCTCCTCATCGTGGGACGGTGAGCAGCATCCCTGGCTCTTCACACTGCCCCCATCCAACTTGTGACAATCCAGAATGTCCCCAACATTGGCAAATGTCTTTTGGGAGCAAAATCTCCCACAGTTGCAGTCCACTAAGTCAGAGAGACCCTGTGCTTTGCAGGACACTGGGCACATGATAGGTATGGCCTTGATTAATAGAGGCTGCTGGCATTTTTTCTTTGTTCTTGTAAGACGAGCACTTTCTGTGGACGAGACCCCTACCTGAGTAAATTCCAGGGTTCTCAGAGGAGATCCAGAAATAGCAAAACAAAACAACCTCTCTTCAGTAGAATAAGGGATCCAAATCTGTGTTCAGTTAGAGCAGAAGGCTCCTCTCAGGACATATTTAAGGTTTTATGAAAGGTTTTATGAGGCTTATCATGTTTTGAGGGCACTTAGTTACCTTTTGGATATAACTGTTTAATTATGTGCTTTAATTTGAAAATGAACATTCATAAAAATACCCAATTGCATCCAGAGGAAAAATTAGTCTCTGAACCCTCTCTCTTCTCAAGACTTCATGGACAGATGAATTGGTCACATGTCAAGTAGAATAGCCTGGGGGTGCATTCCTGACTTCCTGGTTATGAAGTTCAACAGGGTTTATTTTATTTTGAGAGTTTAGGATGACGCCAGAAAATAATTCACTTCATTCACTGCTTTTGTAAATAAAACCTGTTCTTGGTTAATCAAGGGTATTTGTAGCCTTAGGAGCTAACTGGAGTCTGACGGAGACCCACTTAGGGTATACTAGAAGGATGGGTTTTTTGTTTTCTGTTTCTTTTAGATTTTTGCTATAGGGCACATGAGCTCGCCAGAGAGAAACTGTAAGACGAGCACTTTCTGTGGACGAGACCCCTACCTGAGTAAATTCCAGGGTTCTCAGAGGAGATCCAGAAATAGCAAAACAAAACAACCTCTCTTCAGTAGAATAAGGGATCCAAATCTGTGTTCAGTTAGAGCAGAAGGCTCCTCTCAGGACATATTTAAGGTTTTATGAAAGGTTTTATGAGGCTTATCATGTTTTGAGGGCACTTAGTTACCTTTTGGATATAACTGTTTAATTATGTGCTTTAATTTGAAAATGAACATTCATAAAAATACCCAATTGCATCCAGAGGAAAAATTAGTCTCTGAACCCTCTCTCTTCTCAAGACTTCATGGACAGATGAATTGGTCACATGTCAAGTAGAATAGCCTGGGGGTGCATTCCTGACTTCCTGGTTATGAAGTTCAACAGGGTTTATTTTATTTTGAGAGTTTAGGATGACGCCAGAAAATAATTCACTTCATTCACTGCTTTTGTAAATAAAACCTGTTCTTGGTTAATCAAGGGTATTTGTAGCCTTAGGAGCTAACTGGAGTCTGACGGAGACCCACTTAGGGTATACTAGAAGGATGGGTTTTTTGTTTTCTGTTTCTTTTAGATTTTTGCTATAGGGCACATGAGCTCGCCAGAGAGAAACAGAGGGAAAGTGAGAAATAACCCCCCTGGGAAGATAGCCATGCCTACAGTACCTTCTTCTCCATTCTCCTCCAGGAATTTTAGGCTCACATGCATACGCACCCAACACTTTTTTCAAGCCACGGAGTCCGGGACTTGAACCATGTAGTTGGCCATGTGGGATCTAGTACTTTAACCACCACACCACCTCCTGTTCACAAGGAGTAGTTTTAATCAAGAGATAACTTAGATTTTATTAGGCAGTCATTAATAAGAGTTAAATATTTAAAATTATCATATTTATAGCATTTTTAAGAATGCATGTTTAACTTTTTAACTGAGGTAAAATTCATGTAACATGAAATATTTTTGAGAGATTTTTGCTATAGGGTACATGTGCTCACTGGAGAGACAGAGAGGCACAAAGCAAGAAATCACACCCTTAGAGGGGATGGCCACACCACAAACCCTCTTTCTCCATTCTCCTCTTGGAATTTTGGGCATACATGCACATGCACCTGGCATGAGTTTCAAGCCGCTAGGTCTGGGATTCAAATTGGGATCAGCCACCTCCTGGCCCCATAAAATTATTTTAGAGTGTATAGCTCAGTGACATTTGGTGCATTCACAGTATTTTACAACAATCACCTGTCTGATTCCTAAATCCCCTTTTATAATGGTACTTAAAAATTATAATAATTGTATCATTATTAACATAAATTTTCCTAATCTTTGTATGAGTTACTGTCATAGGAAACTGGAATGAGACAGTAAAAGATTCAGTTGTGCTCATACCATGGACCTAGGAGAAATTAACTTGCAGTGATGAAATGTGTAATCCAGCCCATAACATGACAACATCACAGAGGGCTATATTCCCACAGTTATCATGGGGTATTGTTAAGGTCCCAGTGGTGTTTCCCCCCAGGTCTTCAGTCACAATTTACTTATGCTATGTGAGTAATTAGACCAGGTCTCTGGATGGTGAGTTACATATGCATAGTGTATAACGTTTTAGAAACCATTCATGTGTAGGTTGTAGGGTGAATAACATAAAGGGAAATCTGACAGCATCGAAGTACAGCTCTGTTGTTTTCCATGGTTCTCTTGGATTTGTAAAGAAAGTCTTAGGAGCCAGGTGATGGCCCAGCAATTATACAACCAGACTTACATGGGAAATGTCCTGGGTTTGTGTCCCAGGACCTCCCAGTGCATGCTGGGAAAACATCTACATGCACCTGACCCAGGCTGGCTGAGACAGAGTTGATCATGGTGTGAGGACCTTGTGCAGGGGGCACCTGTTTCTCTGTGTGTCTCTCTTTCATGGAAGAAATAAACCTCAAAAACGTTCTTTTAGAAAAAAGAGGCTACATCACATGAATGATGGTTCTCTTTCATTTCAGCTCTTCTTGAAGCCCAAGATGTGGAACTTTATCTGAGACCTCTGAGGAAACACATTCAGTCTCTCCAGGAGACGGAATTCCCACAGATGCGCATATTAATCGCCCCATTGTTTCATACCATCTGTCTGATCTGGAGTCATTCCAAATTTTATAATACCCCTGCTCGGGTTATAGTTTTATTGCAAGAGTTTTGTAACCTCTTCATTGACCAGGTATGAAGCATTAAAAAATAGCAACAGTAAGAATCACTGCTGTGAGGTAGATTTTATTGATCTAGTGAAGACTAAGTATTTCAAGTACCATTTTCTTGTTTATTTTTTTGGAAAGGACTTTTATGGCAATAAAGGCTACATGATAAGGGAATTCTGGGAATTACTGCCAAAGAACAAGTTGGATGCAGCTAAAGAACAAGTTGTTGCCCCATTTTGTTTCGTAGTCCACTTCCAAAGAGATGTAAGGCAGCTTCCAATAAAATATGCATAGTATCATCTTCGTAGTCTTGCCTTTGGTTTCCACAGGAACACTGGCTGAAGTACTTTGGGAAAGTAAAGAGAATCCAGGACCAGCAAATGGCATAATAGTTATGTTGTTGGACTTCCATGTAGTTTACTGTGGTTCGAGTCCTGGACCTGGTGGCTTAAAAATCATGCCACGTGCCTATGCATGCATGCTCAAGATCCCAACATGACAATGGAGGAGAAGGAATTGCAGCATGGTCTTCCCACTGGAGTGGGGGTGATTTCTTGCTTGCTTTCTTTGTCTCTCTGGCTAGTGTATGTACCCTATAGCAAAAATCTCTCTCAAAAAAAGAAAAACTTAAGAAAATCTGTCATAAGGATCATCTTCAAATAATAATAGTAGGATTGTATTGAAAGAATTCTAATTAATTGCTGTTGTTTAAAAGTCTCCTATCATTATTTCTCTACTCCTTACTTAACTTGTAAAGTGTTATAAAAACAGTAATGGGACTAGCAGATGGCATAATGGTTATGTTGCTGGACTCCCATATGGCTAACTATGGTTTGAATCCCAGACCTGGCAGCTTAAAAATCACACCAGGAATGTGTGTGTGTGTGTGCATGCCCAAAATCCCTAGAAGAGAATGGAGAAGGGATTATGGTGTGGCCATCCCCCCTCCAGGGGGTGATTTCTTGCTTTCTGTCCCTCTGGTAAGCGCATGTGCTCTATAGCAAAATCAATCAATCAATCAATCAAACAAAAACAAAACAAAACTCTCAAAAGAAAACAAAAAATAAAACTGAACCAACTCACTCCCTCTGCTTCCTCATCCTTTATATGTGAACTTTCATTCTTGTGCAGTTGGTGAATATTGTATAACTTGAGAGCTAAAAGATACTTAGATGCTACATAATCAAGTGGTTCTTGGGGAGAGTCTTAGACTGCTTGGCACCCATAACAAAATACGGTAGTCTGATAGCTGAAGCAACAGAAATGTGTTTTCCCACAGTTCTGGGGATGGGATGTGAAGTCAGAGTTCCCGTAGGACCCAGTTCTAGTGAGGACTTGTTCTGGTGATGCCTCTTCCCGATTTGCAGGAGCAGGCCGCTTTCTCACTCTGTTTCCTCATTTGGCTATTTGCCTCTTTGCAAAGGCCACAGTCCTATTGATTCAAGCCCCACCCTTATAACCTTATTTAAATTTAATAACCTACAGACCTTATGTCCAGATTCAGTTGCACTGGGAGTCAGGACTTCAACACCTGTGTTTTGGTGTGTGTGGTAGGCCAGTGGCACATTTCAAATAGCTATCAGATGAATTAGCCAAGACTTGAAAGATTGTGTCATTTGCTCAATTTTCCCTGAGAAATTGGGGGGGTGGGGAGTCAGACTAGAATAGGTCTGTAGACTTGCAGAATAGAGTTTCTGGAGCATGAGATTGAGGTGTGAGTGCATATGTGTGTATTTCATCTTTCTCTACCTCTGAAGATGTAGAATGGTGAATAGGAAGGAGTTTAAATTCATACCAACCTGGATTCGAATCTAAATGAACCACATGTAGGGAAATTAAATTGCTTCTCTGAGCCTTGGTTTCCAAATCTGTCAGTGGGAATAATGTCCAGGTCGTTGTGAAGAGATGACTTAGGTGAAATAAGGTAGTTGCAGTTATTGATAGGTGTTAACAGGTCAGTTCCTTGATTTATGTTTGTGTGTGTGTATTTATATTTTTTAAAGTTTCTTTATAAAAAAAAATTTGCCAGAGGGTACACAAACTCACTGGAGAGAGAGAGAGAGAGAAAGCAAGCACCCTTTGGAGGATGATCACACTGCAGTCCTTCTCTTCCATTTTTCTTTTCTAAGATTTTGGGCACATAAATTCAGAATGTATTTCAAGTTGCTGGGTCTGGGATTAGAACTGCACAGTTGGGATCCAGCTGCCTTCCCCACTGCATCACTGGCTGGCCCTATTTATTTCTTGCAGAGGCAGAGAGAGACAGAGAGACCTCCAATAAGGTCGTGTTACACCACAGTCCTCCCCCTAGCCAGCCCACCAGCCAGGATCACAGGCATACCTGTGAGCATGTCCAGTGTGCTCAGGTTGATGAGAGCCAGAATCCAGGGCGTCCCCATGGACCTCCTGTATCGTTCAGTGGTGCCCTTCCTCTGCACTACTGCAGCGGAGTCGGTGCATGGCTGTATGTTATCTGCATTTCTGGTTTGTTTCGCTTCTGTTCCTCTGTTGTGAAACTTAGTCTTGCCCTGTTGTTAGGCAAGTGTCCGGGACCCTAGTGGTTTGGATCTCTGCCCAAAATACCATAATCCCTGTTGCAGGGCCAACAACTCTAACCACCACTTTTTCTAACATGTTTTTTTTTTTTTTTTTTTTTAAGAGGTTTTCTTCTCATTTTGGGAATGGTCAAACAGTTTCATTGTAAATGCCTGTTAATGTATTAACCCAAGGTGGCCACACTGGTGTATGGTTAGCTTGCCAGAAGTCCTGGTTACCTTTAAGCCTGTAAACCTATTATCCCTGGCTGCTGGTCTGGGTCAACGGCCAGTGTCTGCCAAGCTCCCGAGGAAATAACACATCTCTTGTTGCTTAGTTCTGGCTCCTGCCCAGAGGTTCCATTGACCTGATTGCCTTGATTCTTCAAGTGGCAGATCCTGGACTTTGTAGTAAATCTGCCTGAACTAGCTATGCGTCAAAACTTAGCAAAGAGCTGACTTTCATACGTGTGCTCTCTGAAGAGTTAAACCTCTCTGCCATACCTAAACTGTTAGTTGTCTCATTTTATTTATATTATATATTTATTTAACAAGTACTGTATAAGGCTTGTTATTTCACCAGGAAATTTTCTAAGTCCTTTACAAAAATTCGAAAATTAAATGCTCATAGCAACATTATGACATAGGTACTGTTGGTAGCTGCATTTTGTAATTGAAATACTGGTGTCCAGAGAAGATAAAAAGGAAAAGCCTTTGCAGCTTGTAAATGATGGAGTTCTTACCTATCATATTATGCTGTGTATTTTAAAATAACAGCTTTTATTTCTAACTACAACAATACATGGTGTGCTAATGATATTTGTAAGATATTTTCATTGCATAACATAACAGTGGAAATAGTCCTTCAGTTTTTCATCCTAAAATTTAGTGTTTTAATATATGCAATATATTATTATATTAATATAATAATTAATATAATAGTATTATTAATGTAAAAGTAATCCTAAAATTTAGTGTTTTAATATATGCAATATATTATTATATTAATATAATAATTAATATAATAGTATTATTAATGTAATAGTAATGCAATATTAGTATATTATAATATATATTTATATATATCATATATATAAGGAATTATTTGTTTTATTTCAGTCATTATTGTTGTTTTTCAATTTGGCCAAAGAGAGAGAGAGAGAGAAACAGAAAATGAGAAAGCAAACCACCAGGTCTGGGACCCAAACTATGCTCAGCTGTGGCGGGGGAGTCCAGTGCCCTAACCACTATACCAACCACCACATCACCCTCCAGCTCCCAATATGTACATTTTTTAAGCAGGCTTCTTAAAAAATAATATTATTATTGCTGTTACTGTTATTTAGATTGATTCTAGTCTTCTTCATTATAAACAGTATATAGAATACAACTTTTACAAAAATCCTTTTCCTTAACTTGGATAATTCACTTAATAGAAATTCCTAATATAGCATGTTTTTGCTTTATTTATTTTTTCTTTTTTTTTCCTTTTTTTTTTTTTTTTTTTTTTAAGAGGTTTTCTTCTCATTTTGGGAATGGTCAAACAGTTTCATTGTAAATGCCTGTTAATGTATTAACCCAAGGTGGCCACACTGGTGTATGGTTAGCTTGCCAGAAGTCCTGGTTACCTTTAAGCCTGTAAACCTATTATCCCTGGCTGCTGGTCTGGGTCAACGGCCAGTGTCTGCCAAGCTCCCGAGGAAATAACACATCTCTTGTTGCTTAGTTCTGGCTCCTGCCCAGAGGTTCCATTGACCTGATTGCCTTGATTCTTCAAGTGGCAGATCCTGGACTTTGTAGTAAATCTGCCTGAACTAGCTATGCGTCAAAACTTAGCAAAGAGCTGACTTTCATACGTGTGCTCTCTGAAGAGTTAAACCTCTCTGCCATACCTAAACTGTTAGTTGTCTCATTTTATTTATATTATATATTTATTTAACAAGTACTGTATAAGGCTTGTTATTTCACCAGGAAATTTTCTAAGTCCTTTACAAAAATTCGAAAATTAAATGCTCATAGCAACATTATGACATAGGTACTGTTGGTAGCTGCATTTTGTAATTAAAATACTGGTGTCCAGAGAAGATAAATAGGAAAAGCCTTTGCAGCTTGTAAATGATGGAGTTCTTACCTATCATATTATGCTGTGTATTTTAAAATAACAGCTTTTATTTCTAACTACAACAATACATGGTGTGCTAATGATATTTGTAAGATATTTTCATTGCATAACATAACAGTGAAAATAGTCCTTCAGTTTTTCACCCTAAAATTTAGTGTTTTATGCTATGCAATATATTATTATATTAATATAATAATTAATATAATAGTATTATTAATGTAATAGTAATGCAATATTAGTATATTATATATTTATATATATCATATATATAAGGAATTATTTGTTTTATTTCAGTCATTATTGTTGTTTTTCAATTTGGCCAAAGAGAGAGAGAGAGAGAAACAGAAAATGAGAAAGCAAACCACCAGGTCTGGGACCCAAACTATGCTCAGCTGTGGGGGGGGAGTCCAGTGCCCTAACCACTATACCAACCACCACATCACCCTCCAGCTCCCAATATGTACATTTTTTAAGCAGGCTTCTTAAAAAATAATATTATTATTGCTGTTACTGTTATTTAGATTGATTCTAGTCTTCTTCATTATAAACAGTATATAGAATACAACTTTTACAAAAATCCTTTTCCTTAACTTGGATAATTCACTTAATAGAAATTCCTAATGTTGATGAAAGGACGAGTCATTTCATAGCAATATTTAATGTTTACAAATTCTTTTCTAAAAGGCTATATCAAATTGCATTGCTGTTTTCAGTGTGTAAAGTTTTACTGTAAACTGCCAGCCGAGAGTATTACCATTTTCAAAAATGTGAGGCCATTTATTGGGTATGTGATGGTACCATGTTGTTTCTTAGTTTGTACCTTATAGGATATGCCTGATAACACATTTTGTGTGTCTTTTCATTGTGTTTCTTCATGTAGGCTTCAAGTACTTGGTATTCATGAACTTGATGATTTCAATGTTTTGATGAAAATTTAGCTAATCCTGTGTTATATGTAAGCAGTCATGAGTTGGCATTTTGTCAGCTATATTTGGCATGTATCCCTGCAGTGCTTTTATTTTGCATAATGTATTTTTAATTTAAAAAAGTATTCAGAGTGAAGTTAGATAGGCTTCATCTGCATCCCAGCATTCCAGCTACCACTGAAAAGTCAGAGAATTCACTACATCGGCTGTAGCCATGCCGTCCCTGCTGGCCAGTCAGTTGCTAGAGTCTCAGGTGCCCCTTTAGGGTAAATCAGGTGCGGTCCAGCTTTGTCTTCACCGTTTGCTGCTGTTCCTAATCTGCTTCACTTGTCTTCATTATGTGCTGGACCCTTGACTGGCATTCCAGTCATCTACACATCATCCCTTAGGCCAGACACACAAAAGGCACCATGTAGCTGTCACACCCTGGCACACACAAGCTTTGGTAAGGGGGCCTTTTTTTTTTTTTTTTGAGAGGTTTTCGCTATAGGGCATGTGCACTTGCCAGACAGAGAGAGACATAGAGACAGAAAGCGAGAAATCACCCCCCAGGGGGGATGGTCACGCCGCAATCCCTTCTCTTCCATTCTCCTCTCAGGTTCTTGGGCACGTACACACGTGTGCCTGATGTGAGTTTTAAGCCACCAGGTCCGGGATTCGAACCACGGTCGACTACATGGGAGTCCAACGACATAGCCATTACATCAACTGCTGGTCCCAAGGGTGCCTTTTCTTAATGCCTTCTCTCTTTCCTGTGGTAACCTGATGCTGTTCCCTGACCATTGTGCATCTTTACCACTGTAGGCCCACCACCCTGTCTGTTCCATGGCTTGCTATCTTAATTGTGGATGTCATCATCCACAAGATCCTAGGTGACAGGGAGTTTAAGTCTGAGGGTTCAGGCTAGGAGAGGAAATGTCAGGATTTGACAAAAATAATAATTCATGAAAATATAAAGAACAGCAAAAACATCTGGGAGATAGGAATTAAACTAAAAGTATTATTGATAAATTGGTTAATTGATAATTAAATGGCCTAATGGGAAATAAATTGCTTAGCAGTATTTTAGCTGATAAGACCCTGATGTGAGATAACCTGACTCAGTTCATCCTAAATCCAGTCGCTTTTTATTTGTTCTAATACCATTAATTGTGAGATAATGAAGTTGGTGTGGTCGGGTATGCTCCAGAGAGATACTGTAGGAGGCAGAAAATAATTCAGCGTTTATGAGCTAAAAGGGATCTTGAGGTTTACATAACCTATCTTTCTCATTTTATGGATCAGGAAAGTGATCCTTTGAGACAATTTAATGTCACGAAAGCAGTTAGTGGCCCCTCACTAACTCATAGACCCGTCTCCTGCCTCCTGAGATGCCTTTTCCTCACATATTCTCTGCCCAGTGTGAGGATGTAGACTGGGGTTATTAATCTAGGATGTTAAGTACTATCACCTGGTTTTAGGAAGTCTTAGCTGATGGTAGGCTGTATTAACGAAGTTAATTGGGTAGGATTATGTCATCAACATCACGGCCTGTCAAAAGGCCAGAAATGGATGTCACTTTAAACATAGGTACTTAGGTCATGGGGAGAAAGGACTGCTGACACAGAGGGCAATGAATTATCTCCACGGATTTTTAGCTTCCTAAAAAGATATATTTATTGTAAAGAATAAATACAGATAAAGCTATATGGCACAATTAGTATTACATATACCATACCAAAATGTGAACAGTTTTAGAAATTGCACGGCTAGGGGGTTGCTGGTATGGGTCGAGCATCCCTAATCTAAAAATCTGAAATCTCCAAATCTTGAAAATCTGAAACTTTTGAGCACTTACATGACACCACAAGTGGAGGATTCCACACCTGACCTCCCATGACAGTCACTGTCACAATGAGGCAAGACAAAAATAGTCTTTAAAATTACCTTCAAGCGGAGTGTAAGTGTATATAAAACATGAATGATTTGTTTATTCCTGGGTCTCATCCCCAAGATGTCTTTTTATGTATATGCAAATATTCCAAGATCTGGGGTTTAAAATGATTCATTGAAATAGTGATAGCGATAGTAAAAAACAAAAACAAAAACAAAAACAAAAACAACCTACTAAACAGTTTCTATCTTGTTTCCTTTTATTAAATCCTAGGCAATAGCTTATCTTTCTCCTGAGGACCTTTTGAAGGGAGAAATTGAAGACTCACTGGAAAAAGTACAGGTGGCCATTAACATCTTAAAGACTTTCAAAGATTCTTTTTTCAACCATAGAAGAAAATTGTCAAGCTATTTTACAGGAAATAAGGAGCTGCGACCCTGGGATTTTCAGTCTCATCTGGTGTTTTGCAGATTTGACCAATTTCTTGACCGCTTAATGAAAATAGAGGTATTCTTTTATTGGTTTTATTTATATTGTAGATGGGTTCAAAAAGCTATTAGCTTTTCACACGAGTCACATGTTCTGTATGGAAGGTGGAAGATCTCCTTTTTTAGAGGTTCTAATGAGGAGTAAATGGAACCCATGTTGTAATGATATAAGCATAGTTTTTTAAAAATTTTATTTATTATTATCATAATCTTGTTTACAGATATAAACATAGTTTTAAAAGTCTTAATTTGGCACCTTTTTTAAAAAAGAATTATTTATTTAATTTTGTTTATTAGTATTATTTTTTTCATTTGAGCAGAGAGAGATATAGAGAAAGAGAGAAAGTGAGAAAGCAAGCTGTCAGGTCCAGGACTCAAGCCACAGTTAGCCATGTTGAGAGTCCATTGCCTTAACCACCATGCTACCTTCCTGCCTCAATTTGGCATCTTTTTAAAAAAAAATTTAATGTAATTATTATTATTGTTTTTAAATTTTGACTAGAGAGAGATGAAGAGAGAGAGAGAGAAAGTAAGAAAGCAAGCCATCAGATCTGGGACTTGAACTATGGTTGGCCATGTGGGAATTCAGAGCCTTAACCATCACACCATCTGCCAGCCCCTATTTGGCCTCTTTTAAAATTCATTTTGGATTCTGTTACTACATGGAGTTTAAGTAAATCAGTGACCCTTGACTTCAAATTTACTAAGCTCCTGGAAGAATGGTAAGTTGGAAAACTATAAATAAATCCTCTCTCTTACATGTTTAATGCTTGACATAGGTATTCCATACCTAAAACATAGGGATTCCATATGTAAAACCCCATTTGATTTGATAGTTTAAACATCACACTTTTACTATATAAATATAGACTATAAAAATATTAAAGACATTTTCTAAAAAGCACATGAAAATATGCATTCTATATGAATGTTTTGTAAATACCTAAAAACCAAAATTTGGCGGTACCAGGGGAACAATTTTAAATGAACAGATCCATATGTACATATATACGTTTTTAAAAATTTTTTGAATTTAGTGCCAGCCAGTGACATGATGGTTAAGACAGATGTATCCCACATGGCTGACTAAGCAGTTAGAGTCCTGGACCTGGCAGCTTGAAAAACATCCAGGCACATGTGTATGCATGCTCAAAATTCTAAGAGGAGAATGGAAGAGAAGGGATTGTGGCATGTCCATCCCCCCAGGGGGTGATTTCTCACTTTCCTTCTCTGTCTCTCCCAGGTGAGTGTATGTGCCTTCTAGCAAAATTTAAAAAAAAATAATTAATAACTCTGCTTTATTTTTCTTATAAAATTTTCACAATTTTGGGCTTTAGTGTTGATACAACCCTTACTTGAATTTCATCCAAAATTAGAGCTCAGTGTTTTGAAAATTCTTTTTATCACTTAGCCTGAATGCCTCTGTATGCTAAATACCTGCCAAAGGGCATTTCGGTGTCCCTTTCCTAACTGTAGCTGGTGCTCCCTTTCAGTAAAGTAGCTGACTCACTGCAAAGTGTAGGTGATCAGAAATACAGTTTTGGATGTTACCAGAGGCTACAACTTACTAGGATCTTTAAAGGAGTTGTATATCTAGCTATGATTAAATAAGGGTTGCCTATATGTAAAATCATTGTTAGTAAATTTGGAAATGGAAGTGTGTCTCTTAAAGTTTGCGATTACTATGTACAGTTAAGTCATTGATATTTATTTCCTGTCAAAGGATGTATTTGTCACCATATTGGAATTTGAAAAGCTGGAAAGATTGGAATTCGGCGGTACCAGGGGAGCCATTTTAAATGAACAGATCCATGAGATGAATGAAGCATTTATGGAACTCTGTGAAGTATTTAAACTGAGCACTTATGACCCATCTGATTGCAGTAACATGGTAACGTACCTTTGCATTTTCATTTCATAGAATCTTACCATTTTAAAGCTGAAGAGGAGGGCAGGTCCCAAGGATAATTGGTATCATCTGGCCCAAATGTGGTAGGATGAAAAGTAATCAGATAAGTTCCCTGAAGTCTCTTAGTTAGTTAGTGATCAGGGATCAGTTTTGGGCCTTTGCATTTACAGTTTAGAACTGTCTAAATGACTGTTCACCTCAGTCTTGATTTGTTTCTTGTTTGTACACATTGAAAAGGAACTGAGAGACCTGTAGGTGGTGTGGTAGTTAAGGGGCTGGGCTCCCACATGGCTGGCAGTGGTTCAAATCCCAGACCTGGCAGCTTGAAGATCATACTAGGTACATATGCATGTGTGTCCAAAATCCCAGGAAGAGAATGGAGAAGGGATTGTAACTTCGTCATCCCTTCCAGGGAGTGATTTCTTTTCTTTCTTTTTTTTGGGGGGGTGGGGGTGGGGGTGGGGGGAGAGGTTTTTGCTACAGGGTGCATGCACTCGCCAGACAGACAGAGAGAGACATAGAGACAGAAAGCAAGAAATCATCCCCTAGGGGGGCTGGTCACGCCGCAATCCCTTCTCCTCCATTCTCCTCTCTGGATCTTGGGCACACACGCACACACGTGAGCATAAGCACCCTATGGACAAAAAAAAAAAAGGAACTTCTACAGTAATTCATTTTGATCTGATTATCCAATATCCATTTAACTTGTTTTATTTTAGTATTTTCCTGAATCACTGGATACTTTTTTGGTCTATTCAAAAATTTCCATTCACTCATTCATTATTAACATTTATATTGTTTCTCATTTTTGTTATGCTTTAGAGCTATTTATAATTTCATATGTTCAGTCACAGGAAATTGGAAGCTTCCAGATTTGAGCTGCTTCCATTTTCTGTCACTTCCAGCCTATTGGTAGCCAAGGAACTACCTGTGAACATCCTTGCTAGATAAAAAATAGCTTCAGGTTAGTGATTTGCCAAGAACAGTGAAGGCCAATTAAAAAAATGATAATAAAGATTTAGCTCTTGTGTTCATTATTTTATACCAAATGTGAACTTATTCAACATTGTATTTATATTTGGCTATGGTGAGTGACTCCCTGTGAAGTTGGTGGACAACTAGAAGGGACCCAGGATTGTGATGACGAATAATCTGAGCTTGTACCCAGAGACTTGGGAGGGGCCTGGAACCCGGAAGGTATTCAGTAAGTGTGTCCAGAATGGGACTTCTGGGGAGCTGTGGCTTAACCCGCCCAGATGAACCTCTGAAGGAGGAGTATGAGATCAGGCCTGCAATAGACCCTCAGGCCTTGGAGTTACAGGAGAGGCGTGATTTCCCCAGGTTTTCAGATTTGCCAGCATTAAATAACTTGGCCAGTTTTAACTGATGTCACTGCCTCGGCCTTGCCAGAGGTCCTAATTTTAGCTCTGTGTCTGCCCAAAACCTGCACATTCACAAACATGTAGGAACAGAAAATTCAGTTGCTCTTTACATATAAGAGTTTCTTTTGGAGGCCGATTTCCATCTCTAAAGCTATTCTGGTGACACTAGACTCAGTGTCTTGGCTTTGCTTATGTTCTGTGGCATTTCTTGATTAAATAAAATTCTTCAGATAGCTAAGCAAAGATGGCAGCTATTCTTGAGTGTAACTGCTTGGCTCCGCTTGGTCTCTGTTTATCATAACCAATTAATATTTACTGAGCAAGTGCTAAGTGCCAGGCAGGCGTTTTGCCAACACCTTCCCACTCACTCCTGCTTAAGTTTCCCTATAACCCTGTAAGTGGCCTCAATGATATTTATGACGAGTTAAGTTAATCACCTGAGATTATACTTTTCCAGGTGGTGGAACAGACTCAAATCTGGAACTCTCAACCCTAAACCCTATCTTCTTTTCCTTGTGCCACTCTGATTCTTCCTATTTATTTCTCTCAATGCATCCTCATTGAAATGACAGGAATGAATTTATCCAGGGAGCTCACCTAAAGACCTCTACCAGAATGGTCCAGGTTTCTGTTTGTTTTCCTGCTAGTTTTCAGTAGGAAGGTTGCTCCAGATATCTAGCCTGCCATGAACCAGAGACTACAATACAGTTTAAAAGCATTGTTTTAGGGCCAGCAGAGGTGGTATGGGAGTTGAGGCACTGGATTCCCACATGGCTGACCACAGTTCAAGTCCCTGATCCAGTGACTTGATAATCACAACAAACAAATAGTTAAATACAAAATGTTTGTTTATTTATTTTTTGAAAATAATTATTTAGTTAATCTGAACTTGGTTCTATTTCCTAGCACTAGTCCATTGTTCCTTTATCAACACTGAACTTTTCTCTCGCTATTACTATATGAAGTGTTTTCAGTTTTGGGCTAGATAGATTTATTAGTCATCTGAATATTTTCATGTTTTGCTTATTTGGTGAGATGAAATTTATTTAAAAATATTCTTTTTTATAAAGAATTATTTAGCTTTATTTATTTATTTATTTATATTTTTATTTGACCAGAAAAGGAGAGAGAGAGAAAAGTGAGAAAGCAAACTGCCAGGTTCGGGACTTGAACCACAGTTGGCTGTGTGGAAATCTAGCACTTTTAATCACCACATTGCCTGCTGGCCCCTAAAAATATTCTTTACAAAAGGTAGTATTTGAAAAAACTTAGTTCCCTTCCTATCACCCTTTTGTCTTTTCTGTTAGTCTTCCATATTTCCTACCCAAAAAAATCTGTTGTGAGTTTTTACATAATGTCCTGGAGGTATTTGGTGCACATACTAGTGTATACATGTATATATTCCTTTGTTTTTGTTTTTGCACAAATACCTTCCTGTGTACATCACTTGCATGTTGCTTCTACTACCCAGTAACATATTTTGGCAGATATTTTCTATCATCATAATGACATTGTTGCTTTTTTTTTTTTTTTGGAGAGGTTTTTGCTATAGGGCGTGTGGGCTCACCAGACAGATAGAGACAGAGAGACAGAAAGCAAGAAATCACCCCCTAGAGGGGATGGCCATGCCACAATCCCTTCTCCTCCATTCTCCTCTCGGGATCTTGGGCACCCACATACAGGCACCCAGCATGAGTTTAAGCCACCGGGTCCGGGACTTGAACTGTGGTCGATTATGTGGGAGTCCAGTGGTATAGCCATTACGCTAATTGCTGGTCCCACATTGTTGCTTTTTTTGAAATACTTGCATATTTAATTGAATTAACCCACTGTGGAATCAATGAAACTGAGGGCTGATTTTTTAAAAAGACAAAGGTTTAGTAAGACTACAGAAGACAGATAAGACAAATTACCAATATCAGGAATAAAATGGGCCACATACTCTGCAGATATCAAAAGAATGAATAGGAAATATAAAAAAGTAAACCCAAAAAGAACCACTGCACAAATAAATTTGATGACATGAAATGAACCAATTTCTCAAAAAAATCAGAATCTATTACTACTCACCTAATATGAAATAGATCATTTGAATGACACTGTAACTATTAAGGAAACTGAATTTATCATTTCAAATTCCCAAGAAGGAAATGTCTTAGCTCTGATCATTTCATTGGTGAATTCTCCCAAATATTTAAGAATTAATACCAATTCCACATATTCTTTTCCAGAAATAGAAGAGGAGGACACACTTCTGAGTTTTCTTTGAAGCTAATATTACCTTGACACCAAAACCAGAAAAGTTACTTGCAAAAAAAATAAGGCAAAACTGTAGACCATTTTCCTTCATAAATATAGATGTAAAAATCATTTAAGAAATTATTAACAAATAGAATTAAGCAGTATATAGTTTTTTTGAAAGTTCTATTTCTATTTTTATTTTTGTTCTGCTGTATAAACTTGAGATTTACCACATGATATTATAGGATACATACAGATACTATAGTGAAACAAATGAGCTTTTTTGTGTAGTTACATTTTGTGGCAAGAGAAGCTAAAATCTGCTTATTTAACCAAAAATAAGGTGTTCTTAGTGAGAGTTCTCTCTACTGTACATTAGATCACGAGCCTTGTTCATGCTATACACATCTGCTACTTTGTGTCCTTTGACCTGTTTTTCCCTATTTCCTCCCCAGCTTTGCCCCAGCAAGCATTGTTTCAGTATCTCTGTTGGACTTTTGACCTTTTTTTTTTTCTAAGATTCCACATGTGAGTGAGACGTAGTGCTACTTTTCCTTTTTCATATGGCTTATTTAACTTAGCATAATGTCCTCCAGGTTCATCCATGTATGGCAGATGGCAGTTTCTTGTTTTTTTTTTTTTTTTTAAGACTAAATAATATTCTATTAGATCACATTTTTAAATCCATTTATCTGGTGGACACTGTTGTTTCTGTGTCTTGACTATGTGAATAATACTGCAGTGAACATGGGAGTGCAGTCATCTTTACAATGTGGTAACTTTATCTCTTTTGGTTATATACTCTGAAGAGGAATTGCTGGGTCATACATAGTTATATTATTATATAGTTATTTATTATATACATTGTTGTATTATAAATTTTATGCCATGGGATGTATATGCTTGCCAGAGACAAAGACAAAGAGAGGGAAAGTGAGAAATCGCCCCCGAGGGGGATGGCCATGCCAAAATCCTTTCTTTCTTCCACTCCCCTCTCGGGATCTTGAGCATGCCTGCACATGCATCTGACATGATTCCCAAGCCCCTGGGTCCAAGACTTGAACGATAGTCGGCCATGTGGGACTCCAGCATCCCAACCACCACAACATCAGCTGGCCTGTTATATTTTTAAAGTTTATTTCTATGAGAGAGAGACAGACAGGCATCCTTAAAAGGGTCATCAAGGCATGATTCCATCTCCATTCTCAGCTGGCCTGGATCACGGGCACACATGCACCCAGAGTGCTCAGGGAGGTCTCAGGGTGTGAATCCATGACCTCTTCCATGCTGCACTGCAGCTGTGCCACTATCTGGCCCTGTAATTCTGTTTTATTTTTTTTCCTTTATTATATATGTCACAGGATATATGTACATATGCATATACCCATGTTTACAAATAAGAGTAGGGGGAGAAAGAGAAGTGGAGAGGAGAGGTGGGGGAAAGAGAAGGAAAACATCCCCCCTAAGGCCTGGTCATACTGCAATGCTTTTTGCTCAAATTCTCCATCCTTTTAGAATCCTGAGTATGTGTACACATGCTTGGCATTCAACATCCATGTGTGATTAAAAAAAAAAAAACAAAACTCAGAAAAAATGGGAATAAAGGGAACCTTCTTAACCTGATTAAAGACTATCTACCAAAAGCTTCAAACTCATTATACATGATAGTGAAAGTCTTTGGTGAGACTCAAATGCAGCATATACTCAGCTGCCTTTTCAATATCTCCATGAAGTAGACATCTCAAAAACAGCATGTTCTAAACCAAAATCCCTGCATGCCCCATCTGCAAACCTACTCTTGATCATCTCTTCCAGCTCATTAAAGGGCTCATTTAATGGACTGCTTAGTGCAAAACCTTGGAGTCATCCGGAATCGTGCTCATTTTCTCACCACACAGAGCCAGTTCTTTCAGATACACCCTGGAAACATCCAGAACTCATTTCCGACCTGGATTATCACACCATCTCTAAACTGCTCCCCAGCCCCTGTCCGGGCTCCATTAGCCTCTGCTGCATGCAGTGGTTGGGGTGACTTTTTGATGCTAAGCGAACCATGGCTTTTCACTGATTGAAATCCTTTCAGTAGTTTCCATGATACTAGTGAAAGAAATTTTGTAGCTTTCAGAGACGGAACATGTTTGCACTTTCTGAATAGTGCTAGCACACTGTTTATTCTTTAGTAAATATTGAGAAACGGCTATGTGCTGAGAACCCCGTTACATGCTGGTTCTGTCAGTGTAAAAGAAATCAACTTGGTATTTCATTCACAGAGCTTAAAATCCAGGGATGAAGGCAGTTATTATTAGGTCATCAGAAAAGTCATGACACATTTTTGCATAGAAAAATATTTTAGGACTTTTTCAACAACCCAATATATAGTATGTTCAGTGCTGTGATGCAAAAAGTACAGAGTGCTATGAAAATGTTTCCAAGGGGCCCTTTTCCAGAGGAGGTGAAACATAAACTGTAGCTAGTAACATGCAATGAAGGGGGAGAGGAATGGGTGAGATGGGGAGACTGATAGGGCGGGTGTGGCTAGATCCTAGAATGGCAAGTTGGGAGAGGGGCCAGATAATTATGAGTACTAAGGTGGGTTAAGACCACCCTAGGATCTTAAGTGATTATGTTCACACTTTTACTCTTTATTCTAAGAAATTAAGAATTCTGAATTGGAGGATTATGAATACAGAGTAACATAACAGCATAGAACATGATGAACCAAACAAGACTAGAGTCAAGAAGAGTAGCTAGAAAGTGGTTACTAGAAGTACAGATGAGTAGTATTGGTGATTTGGATCAAGGCAGCGCCTGGCAAGATGGAGGACATACTCAAGAGACGGTTAGATTCGATTCATAGCCTTTGACAGAGAAAGGAATCAATCAGGTTTCTGTTAGCATGTAATAGAAGGGCAGTTTCACAAGAAGATGGTACATTCAGATTTGTGCAAGCTAAGCGTAATTCCCATGGGATTTACCAAGGGAAAAGTTCCACTGATAGTTATGAACTTGGTTTCAAGAATGAGCAATGAGAGTCCGGCAGGTGGCGTGGTGGTTAGGGTGGCTAGACTCCCACATGGCTGACTGTGGTTCGAGTCCCAGACCTGATAGCTTGCTTTCTCACTTTCCCTCTCTCTGTCTGTCTTTGGTCAACTTCAGAAAAAGTAAAGTAATGACAATGAATAAAGTTAAATAGAATAATTCTTTTTAAAAAATGAGCAAGGAGGTGGGGTGAGGGAGAAAGATCAGGGAAAGGGATTAGCATATTTTCCCCTCCCTGAGATTATGCATATTTCTTTCCAAGTATTCAAACAATGTTTGAGGATTGTAAATTGTACTTTGTTACCATGCCCAGAAAGGGATGACATAGGCTTGTTAAAACTTGTTGGGAAGCTGTGTTTACTTTAAAAAGTCAGTGATCCTTGAGTGAAAAGATTGCTTGGCTCTGGTTCAGAAGTGGAGACTTCCTCTTGATGCTAAATATAACACTGTGGTGTGTGAGACATAGTGTTCTAGAACTTTGCCCCACTAGTGCTTTGGTTTTTTTTGCTGTGTGTTAAATTCAGCATAAGGTGTTGTCTTGGACTATTCTGGCTGCTATAACAAAATAGCATAAACTGGGTGACTTATAAACAACAGAACTTTATTTCTCACAGCTCTGGGGGGCTGAGAAGTCTAAGATTAAGGTACTGGCAGATTCAGTCTGCTGAAGGCTACTTTCTGGTTCATAGGTGCTGCCTTTTAGCTGTGTCCTTACATGGCAGAAGGATGAAGATGTCACTCTCAGATCTCTTTCACTAGGCCACTAGTCCCATTCATGAAGCCTCTGCCACCATGACCTGACCATCTCTCAAGGCATCACTTTATTTCTTTTTTTAAAAAATAATTATTTAATTGTATATTATTATTTTTTAATTTGCTATAGGGCACTTGTACTCACCAGAGAGAGACAGTGAGAGAGAGAAAAAGTAAGCTACCAGGTCTGAGACTCGAACTGTAGTCGGCTGTGTGGGAGTCCAGTGTTTTAGCCACCATGCACCTGCTGACCTCAGCATCACTTATTAATATTGTCACCCTGAGGGTTAGGATTTGGGGAGATACAAACATTCAGACAATAGCAGGTGCTTTCCTTCATAGACACATAGCATTGTGGTTGACATTGTGGGTTCTGGAACCAGACTGCCTGGCTTTTAATTCTGGTTTTGCCATTTACCAAGGGTGTAATCTTGGGCAAGTTATTTAACTTCCCTGAGTTTGTTTTGTCACCTGTAAAATGGAAAAAAAAAAGTTATCTACATAACATGTTTTTATAAGAATTAATAATGTAAAGCATTTAGAATAGGATTAAGTGTTAGGTGTTATGATTACTGCATCATCATTGTTATTGCTAGATGGAGACTTATTTTACAGAGGCAGCAAAGACTGTCATTATGTTAAATCTGTGACATGCACTTCAGGGGTGTCTTGACTATAAAGCACCGAAATGATTTAAAATCCCTGGGATTTCTTCACTGACATCTGTGATCGTGATGTTATGAGGCTGTTAGTCATTCTTTTAGCATTTTATTCTACCTGATTTTATTAATAGGAATGCGTAGTTACATATTAGGAGGAAACTGGGAATTGTTAATTGCAAATTAATAAGAAACTGGGAAAATGTAAAAGTGTTGGTTTCCTCTATCTCACTAATGATGTTTTCCTTCAGACATTTTTTTTTACCTGAAGAACTAGTATTTCTCTGCAGGTTTTCTGCTCCATGAAAAACAAACAAAAAACTTCCTGTTTAAACTTACAAGTGGAAAAAAGTTGTAATGAGGATAGGTTTTTTTAAAAAAAAATTTCTGAGAAGTTTTACTTTTTCATTTATATTCAAAATGAATTTGGGGAAGGAGGACAGATCAATACTTTAAAAAATTTTTTTGGAGAGATTTTTGCTATAGGGTGTGTGTCCTTGTTGGAGAGACAGAAACCAAGAAATCACCTCCCCAGGGGACATGGCCATGCTGCAATCCCTTCTCCTCCATTTTTTTCTTGGGATTTTGGGCACACGTGCCCGACTTGAGTTTTAAGCCGCCAGGTCCAGAACTTGAACTATGGTTGACTATGTGGGAGTTCAGCGATATAACCATCACACCATCTGCTATCCCAGATCGATACTTTTATGTGAGTGTGTGAGCCAAAGTCCTGATGCTGGGGTCTAGCCAGTGAAAAGAGCTGAGAACAGAGCAACAGTGTGAAACATGCAGTGTCTCTAGAAGGCAGCTGCTTGCATAGTCAGTCAGATATAGCTCCCCTTGATCTTCCAGAATCCTGCCATAGCAGGAGAAATTCTTCCAGAAAAATACACTTTTGCAGTGAGAGAGAAATTAAGGTCATGCTTACATGATTGCTATTTTTACAGTTGGATTCTTCCCTTTAATATTTTACCTTGAATTTTACAGGAATTTGAAAATGATTATGTTATGTTTAAATCTGAAACTTTGGATTTTGATAGAAGGCTTGGAACAATTCTTTGTGAGGGTTTCTACAACTGCAATGGTTTAGAAGCTGCATTTAAGGTTAGTTCCAAGGAAGCTGTCATAAAAATGTTATATTAATGAGTAGTTTAGACTATTAAACTATTAGTTATAAGGGGAAATGTATTTCTTTTTGATTCAACTAAAGTATTAACTGGATTAACTAGTCACATTGCCTTCAAATTCAACTAACTGAATAATATATCTTGAATAATGTATTAATTAATAATAAAGTAACTTTGTACAAGGTTTTTCTTTGTTTCTTCCTTTCTTTTCTTTCTTTCCTTTTTTTTTTTTAAGTTTTACTAGAAAGCACTTGCACTCACTAGAGAGAGGCAGAGGGAAAAATTGAGAAATCACACCTGGGGGGATGGCTACTCCATAGTCCCTTCTCCTTCATTCTCCTCTCAGGATTTTGGGCATTTACACATGTGCGTTCAGCATGTTCTCAAGCCACTGGATCCAGGACTCAAACTGCACAGTCAGCCCTGTGGGATCCAGCTACCTTAACCTCCCTGCCACTTGCTGGCCCTCAATTTTAGAATGTTTAACTGTTTTTCCTGGACAGTGTTCTTAGAGCAAATTTGGCCTGATCAGTGAAATAAAAAGTTAAACCACAGCAGAAGTTAAAAATAAAACAAAAAAGTCCTGGGAACCAGCAGTTAGTGTAATGGCTATGTCGCTGGACTCCCACGTAGTCGATCGTGGTTCGCGTCCCAGACCCGGTGGCTTAAAACTCACGCCTGGCGCGTGTGCGTGCATGCCCAAGATCCCGAGAGGAGAATGGAGGAGAAGGGATTACGGCGTGACCATCCCCTCTGGGGGGTGATTTCTCGCTTTCTGTCTCTCTGTCTCTCTCTGTCTGTCTGGCGAGCACATGTACCCTATAGTGAAAACCTCTCAAAAAAAAAAAAAAACAAAAAAAAAGTCCTGCTAATGCAGGACTTTGTTTTCTTTACAATTGTATATGTTGAATTTACTTGTCTACTGTATTATTCTGACTGAAACACTAGAAGTTGACATACTGTAGGGATAAGATTTCATTCAGTATCAGACACACCATTATTTTGTGTATCAGCAAAGAAAAAATGCTGCCAAGTAATTATGATTTGGCGTTCCAATTTCAGAAATGTTGAATATGAAAGCATGTTTGTAATAGAACTGATGGGTATGTGTATGAAGATTACATAAAAGAAAGCGTCTTGATAGTTCTCCCAAATGAAAAGCGTATAATGTAGGGAAGAGGGCATCATGTGAAATTTGTTGTCGGAGAACAGAATTGCAAGTCAAGTGAATGTTAATAATTAGATGACATCCCAAAAGAGGAGTTGAGGACTCAATATCAGAAGAAACACAGCAGGGAAATCCCAAACACAGTTCATTTAGAATGGCAGTGCAAAAACAGCAGAGTAGACATAGACTTTCTAACGATGTTACTTGATTTAATTTTCAGATTTAAATGAAAAAGTGGCTTTACCACTGTCCTCTGGCCCCAGGCCATCAATTTCTGCATAGAGGATTCATAAGGTTCAAATAGTTCCTTTATTTTTTTAAAGAATTATTTTATTTAATTTTATTTATTATTATTAT